TACCTAACTTAAATACCTGCATATCTATAATTACATGTTTTTACAGTGGGAAGCCCCGCCAGCCGAGGCGGGCGCGCGCTAGCGTTTACAATTATATACGGATTAGATAGGGGTAATTATGGGTCTATATAGGGAACTAATTTTCAGATCCTCCCAGGGGTCTGGATTGACCTCAACGTAGCTGAGATTGAGAAGTAGTACACAGGCAGCACGTGGAGCCGACGAGATTCGGCACGTCCTCTGGAACTTTTCTTACTGGTGGTTAGTGGGGAATAAGGGAATGCAGTATATTGGGATTATATGGGGATTATATGGTAGTTTCCGAAAATGGGGAGACCCAATATAGACCCCATAATGTTATGATCCTTATTATTGGGACACCCAAGATGGTACCCCTAATTTTGGGAAACCACCATATTCCCCTATTCCTACTCACTACCATTAAGTCTTTGCAGAGCAGGATGGTTACCGTCTTGTGACAGGCATCACCCACCTGAACCCTAAACCCTAATCCGTAGAGTTGTTTAGGGCTTAGGATTTTCAGGGTTTAGGGTTTAGGGTTAGACAACCCTAAACCCACACCATTGGTGCCAGATGATGCTGATGAGCGTCTGAGCGGTCCGGCAGCAGAGATGAAGTAAGACAAGGCGCGGTTCAGGGTTTAGGGCTTAGGGTTGTTGGACGGGCTCAACTATGCGAAAACAAGAAATCGTAGCAAACCCCAGTATGGAGTTTGCCGTGACTAGGAGGACCTCAACATAGATTCCAGAAAAACGGTAGCCTTTATGATGCTAAAGGGTGACCCTTCATTTCCCGAACCCTAAACCCTAAACCCCTAAAACACTAAACCCTGAACACCTAAACTCTAAACCCCTAAAACCCTAAACCCGCAACCACAAACCTTCTGTAAGGCAGGGTACAGAAACGTCGCCCACAGAAGCTAGGCATCCGTCTCCCGGCCGGAGCCTTAAGGTTTAGGGTTTCGAGTTTGGAGTTTAGGGTTTTAGAGTTTAGGGTTTTAGAGTTTAGGGTTTGAAGTTTAGGGTTTAAAGTTTAGGGTTTCGAGTTTGAAGTTTAGGGTTTAGAGTTTGGAGTTTGAAGTTTAGGGTTTAGAGGCGCGGGCTTGGGGGCACAGCCCTGCATGACTTTACCCCAAGGCCCTAGGAGTTACTTGGTCTCCTTTTTCTGGGTCTAGGGCGTAGGCTTTGGAGACTAAGGTTCAAGATCTCACTATGGAGCTCTAAGACTCCAAAAGCCGTAGAGTAGCGTGCCAGAATACCGTAACTTCCAGGGTATGAGGTCTTTCGTGTCACGCATGAGCTTACCCTTCAACCCTACACCCTAAAACCTCAGCCTATGATGCCTACATGAGGGAAATACCTAAACCCCAAAAGTATGTAAAATAATGGCCTTTAGGGCTATCATTTTGGGTTTAGGGCCATTATTTTACATATTTTGGGTGTTTAGGTCGCAGTTTTGGGGGGCTTACTTGGGGGGTTTGAGGCAAACCTCGCTGCTGAGCCGCTTGGACCCAAAAAAGGTTGACCTTTCAGCTCTGTATGAAGGGACTATAAGGGGAATCTCAAAGTAGGAGCCCAGCGGTTTAGGGTTTAGGGTTTAGGGTAGTAGGAACAAGATGGAAGTTCATGAGGACCCTGGTAGGTATATTCCTAGTCTATTCCTGCTGTATTCTTGGGGTTGCCCCGTTTTGCGGTTCCCACTAAAACCCTTTTATCGTGGGACTCGATGGGAGTTCCCATGACTAGGGGCACCCCAAGATAGACTCTAAGAGAATGTAACACTGTTAGTTGGACTCCCAAACTTTTTTGAAGCCACCCATACAGAGACCAAAATGTTGCAGGTGATCTATGCGGCGAGTAAGCAAAACACTACCCGGGCCTTAAGGCCCTGAACCCTTATAGCATGGTCCTGCTGCTCAGCATTGAGCGTAGCCTGCGGCAGGGGAATCACAATCCCTAACAGTAGCCACAACCCCTAACTGTAGCATCCCCCAACTTCCCCTGTGTTAATACAACGGTTTAGAGTTTAGGGTTAAGGGTTACATCTATCTATATATATATATATACACACACATTTACACAGTATGCATATGTAGGTGTGTGTGTACATATGTATATATATATACATACATATACCGTTATGGTTTGCAGTATCCCGGTATCAGCCGCAAAAAAAAAGATCACCCAGTGAAGGACCCTTAACCTAAACCCCAATCCCTAAAAGAACCCTAAGGCGGTGTTACACCCTAAGCCTTAAATCCTGCAACGCCCAAACGCTGGAGCCTACCCTAACCCCAAAAGTATGTATATAGAATAATGGCCTTTAGTTCTATTATTATGGGTTTTGAGCCATTATTTTACAGATTTTGGGTGTTTAGGTAGGGCTCGGGGTGTAGGGTTTGGGGTCAACGTGGCCTGTATGTAGGGAACTGGTGCAATGGAGTATAACGACTATAAAATAACAAGGGATTCTATAGGCCTTAGTTACAGGTATGGATACACTCCTTCATTGACTGCAAACCCCAATAAATGGGTCCATCTCAATCTGAAACCCTGAACCTCTGAACCCTGAACTGAGGAACCTTGTAGTCCCCCTTAAGTAGATAGAATATGCGGTATATGGGGATCTTGTTATGATATACCCAAAGCCATATTCTATCTACTTAAAGGGGACTGTAATCCTTAGCCTTAAGCCGCAAACCCCAAATCCGGAACCCTAAGAACCGGGCTGCATCTTCTTAACTGTAGTAGGATTGTATACACCCCAATGGGTTCAACGTTGCCCGCTGAATCCCAATAAAGCAACGCAAACCCGAACGGCCAAACATCGCTATAAAGCATCCAGACATGCTAAGTCCGAAGCCCTAAACTCCAGTTGCATGTTAAGCCTCCTGAAACCCTAAACCCTACAGTAAAGCCTCGACACTAAACTCCAGCTGCAGCATAAGGGCTGTTTCTTCCAGCTAGCAATGGCTAGCTCGCGGACACCGAACCTCGAAAAGACATTTTAAAGGTCAAGGGTGTACCTGAACCCCCCAAAATGTGTAAAATAATGGCCTAAACCCATAATAATACCCCTAAAGGCCATTCTTTTACATACTTTTGGGGTTTAGGTAGGGCTTGGGGGCTCCAGGGCTTCGTGTTAACCCCAAACCCTAAACTCAGCCCTAAACCCTGAAGCCTGTACGGTCTACCTGGACCCCTAAACTATGTAGAACTATGGCCCTTTTGGCTGCTTTTATGTGTTTAGGGCTATAATTTTGCATACTTTTGGGGTGTAGGTAGGCGCTAAAGTTTAGGGCTTTAAGGGCTGTGGGGATGAAGGATTGCCTCTGCCGGCTCCAGGAGCTGAATTTGAAACTTTGTTTGGGCCCAGGATCAACTATCTATGTAGGGGTCTCCGAAAATTGGGTACCCTTTTTGGGGAATATAGGGTTATATAGGGTATATGGGGTTATATAGGGTTTAGGGTTTACCAAAATGAGGGGTGCCCTTTTGGGGGTCCCAATAGCAAGGATTACAATATTTAGGGCTCTATATTGGGGTCCATAATTTGGGAAACTACCATGTAGCCTTCTACAATAATTTTCCAGCTTCAGGCACTCTGGGGCCACGAAGACATAGCGCAAGCCTGCAGCAAGGTGGCCGAAAGGGCTGTCAGCTAGCCTCTCTTCCTGGTATGGCGTCTAGAAAGAGGTGCCTGCCGATCTCGCGACCTGAAACGATGCTGGACTCTGAGTTTTCGACGGCCGCTTGGGAGAGAGCGGAAGAGCGACTGCCAACAGACAAAGGCTGCAAACACCTGTACATGACAGAAAGAAAACTTACTGGATCTTAGTGATTAGGGAATATAACCCCTATATACTCCATATAAAACATAATAAACATATTCCCTTATTCCCTACTGAGAACCAGTGAGAAAATCCATTGCGTTCACTCCCAACTCGCTCCATGAAAACTTCCGATGTTTCACAACAGCCTTCGAACCCTAAACCTCCCGCAGCCCCAAAACCCGAAACCAAGATACCAAACTCTAAGCCCGCCGGGTACCACGCGCATCTTCCCGAAAGCGTGGCTCGGACCACAAGGACTCGTCTCCCTGCTAGGGATACTTCTAAAAGCTGGGGGGTTTTGGGTAACTCTAAGTCCCTACCTAAACCCCAAAAGTATGTAAAATAATGGACTTTAGGGCTATTATTATGAGTTTAGGGCCATGATTTTACATATATTGGGGGTTTAGGAAGTCCCTAACCCCTAAACCCTTAATGTAAACCCATGATTAATAAACCCCCTCCTTTTAAGGGCCCGAAAGATTAGGATCCCTACTATAACCCCTATGAAGGGGAGGGGGTTTATTAATCAGGGGTCTACATTAGGGTTCATAATCCTTCTGAAGGGGGTTCATAATCCTTCTGCAGGTGTTGGGTCTCCCACTAGGGCTTAAGGCACAACCCTTACGATACCATGAATCACTGGTGCAGGAGAGGGTGGGAGTGGATCTCTATACTCCCTATACAAGCCTACCTTTCCCAAAAATGTGTAGACAATGGGCTTGTGGGCTATCTTTATGGATTTGGGGCTATTATTATGCCAATATTGGGCAAACCCTTAACCCAAACACTAAACACCAGTCACTCTATCCATTGCTGCAGAAGTGACGCCAAGCTCGTGGGCAAGAGCTTGGTGGGGTGAGTCTTGTTCATGCTGCCCTGAGCCCCAATCCTAGGTCTCGTTTGCTTCTAACCCCTAAGCCCGAATTCCCTAAACCTGTACTGCCTGGGTGTAGTGCTTTGGGCTTGAGGCTTTTACTTTCAGGGCTTGGGTGTAGTGCTCCAGGCTTCAGACTTGTCCTTTCGGACTCCAGTTCAGTGCTCCGGGCTTCAAACTTGTTTTAAAACTCGGGTGCAGCGCTCCAGGCTGTAGACCTCGAACTTGAATGTTTGGGCCTGAGGTCGAGGTAGGCATATATGTTTCAAAAGAGTTATGCGATCTATACAGGTAACAATACGGAGCTATAACCTAAGCATATGCGCTATCATCTAAACTCCTAGTATCCCCCTTAAAATCCCCTAAAGTAATCCACTATATATTTTCTATATAACCCCCCTTTAAGGAGTTTAGACTATGCCTCATATCAATCACCTGATGAAAGTTTGGATTTCCCTGCCCAGCTTAAGGTTGCGTGGCTTTCCCAACTGACTAATGCTTTTTTTGGGTGGTTGAACCAAGCAAGATAAGCTTCCTTATGGAAAATGCAATACCCAGAAGGAGGATATAGTCCCTAAAGCCTAAACTCTCAACAATCCTACTCTATACTAGTTCATGAGGTAACATAATATCCCCAAAGAAACACACTACTTAAATGGTGGTCAGGGCTGAGGATGGCGTTTCCTGAGGCAAGGGCTTAGGGTTTAGGGTTTTGACCCGACAAATCCTGTGGCCATGCAGGGATTGTGCAGAGAAACTCCCACAGGGAGAAATGGGGACTTCCAAAAATCAGGGGTATCTTTTTGGGGGGCCAGATGATAAGGATTATAGCTAAACTCTACACCCTTCACCCTCTATATCGGGGTCCCCTTATTTGTGGAAACTACCATATCTCAAAAAAGCCCTGGGATATTCAAGATCATAAGAGCTATGGTCTAAACTCCATGAAGGGGGGGTATATAGGGGCTATATAGCGGAGTATTATAGGGGAAACAAGGGGGATACCAGGAGTTTAGGCTATAGCTCATAAGAGGGCTTCCCGGTGTCCTCCTTGCGGACAGATGATGGGATTATGTCTGAGAAGCTCCCATGTGGCCACTCCTTCTCTATAATTGTTAACTGCCAAAAAGTCTGATTCTTAGGGACAAGCTTATGGTCCATGATAAGTACCAACAACACTCAGCCCTTCTTGAAGGGTTAATGATGTAGGTTATAACCCCAGTTATAAGTAGGTACTAAATCCCATGAGCCTTCAAGTACCCAAATCACCCACCCTAAACCCTAAACCCTAAACCCTTGTTCTTGAGGTTCCTCACGGCTACCTCGCAACCCCACGCACATAGGAACCCGCGCATGCCTCCCTCGCTACGCTGCCAGCGGGGTACTCAGGGTTCAGGGTTTCGTTTAGGGTTTAGGGTTTAGGGTTTAGGGTTCAAAGTTCCTTGTACAATATGAAGGCTTCCCAGAAATCAGGCATATTATGATATAATATGGCAGGTTCTAGTATGTTATGGTATATTTCAATATTTTGTAGTATATTGTGGTATAATATAGCATATTATGGCATATTGTAATATATAATGGTATATTATAACATAGTAGTAGTTATAATATGTACCTCACAAACAAGCCCTTGATGAAGGGGACCAGTAGAGCCAACCCTCAGTTAGGAGACTCCCGCGTTGGTTAGACAAGGAAGATGAGCTGACCCTTAACCCAAAACCCTAAAACCCCTAAATCCTGAGGTTAAGGGTTTTGGGCTTAGGGTTCAGTGCTGATGATTTCGGGGACACTAAGTTTGGGAAGTTAGGGACCTTGAAGGGATATGAGCCGTAGTCTAAACTCCTAGCATCCCCTTAATAATCCCCATAGGACTCCCCTATAGATATACATATATGTATATACGTAGCCCCCCTTTTAAGCAGTTTAGACCCTAAGCCCTAAACCCTATATAATCCGCTATGATCCCCGTTTAAGGAATTTAGACCCTAAACCCTAAACCTAATATAATCCCCCGTTTAAGGAATTTAGACCCTAAACCCTAAACCCCATGATGTGGTTGGAGCACTTGGAGGCGGCCTGGTCGAGAGCAGTCTCAACATCAATGCTATGGTAAACCTGCAGGATTTTAGGGTTTAGGGATAAGGGTTTTTGGGGGGTTTAGGGATTAGGGTTTTTAGGGTTTAGGGTTTTGGGGTTTAGGGATTAGGGTCTTTGGGGTTTAGGGATTAGGGTTTAGGGTTTTTGGGGTTTAGGGATTAGGGTTTAGGGTTTTTGGGGTTTAGGGATTAGGGTTTAGGGCTTAGGGATTAGGGTTTGGTAAACCTGCAACGAGTGCTCCGATGGTAGGGGTACTATAGGGATTATATAGGGATAATGGGAATCAAAACTACTGTGTAGGGTTCAGGGATTAGGGATGGGCGTCTCCCAATGTTTTGCGGTTTATTGCATTACTTAGAGTTTGGGGGGTGTCGTTTTGAATTTAAAAAACTTGAAATTTTGAGGTGAAGGCAATGGAAGAACCCTAAGCAATGGCAAGTTTACATGGGCTTCAGGTTTTAGGGTTTAGGGCTTCGGGTTGAAGGCTCAGGGGTTTAGGGTTTGGGGTTTTGAGGTTTCGGGTTTAGGGCATCATGGTGTAGGGTGGAGGGACCCGATTCTCCTGCCGTTTCGGCCAGTCAGGGTGGGTCATGTAATGAGCCTGGCCCATACTCTTCTTCACCAGGCGCAGTTCGTTCGCATGGCTCTCCCCATGCCTTAGCTGCGCATGATGTAGATAGGGTACATGAAAAATGTTCCAGCTGTGATCACTCAGCCTCTTTTTTTCGAAGTGCTCGTTGGCCACCATCTGCCAAGTCTGCCAAGCGTACCAGCCAACACTAAGCTTCTTGTTGGTCTGACAGGCTGCATGACGAGTGAGCTTTGAAGACAATCTCCATGGGCCGTTCTGAACACGTCAAACAGCTGACGCGGGATCTTGTTGGATCCTTAACAGCGTTGTGTTACATTTCAACATCTTACGACACCCTGTCTCGGCGAGGGGTATATGGGAGGTTATCACCCTGTTTTGGGCGTCCGAGAAATGAGCCAGCTATAGTCTAAAGCCCTAAAATCCCCCTTAATAACGCATATAATACCCTGCAGGATAATTCCCTATATAACACCCTTTAAGGCGTTCAGGCTATAGGTGATGTGAGGAGCCGGATTATACAGGCAACCCAAGCAAGCACAACAATTCTGACTACCTTCCATATGGGGCTTGGCCGAAATGACTGCTCCCTCAACAAAACCTTGATAGAGGGACCCGAATTTTATAATGGGAGATAATAGGAATCCCACCTTGAGGACCCGTCTTACATTGAATCTGGGGAGTCCCCCATACGTGACCCCGGCCAAACAGCTTTCAGATTTAAGTTTAGGAGGCTCAGAGAGTAGGGTGTAGAGTTTATGGAGGGCTTTACAAAAAGGCTATTACCATATAGGGAACCGTTCTGAACCCCAAACTACCCGACATTTCACAGCAAAATGATAGGCGCCTTGCGAAAAGAACCCCGGCAGCATGGGTCACAAATTTAAAGCTAGTCCCTAGACCTAGATCACATTTGTTCACGGGAGACGCTATAACATGCACACATAACTGGGGCTTTTAGGGTATCCTGCTTGGAGAAACTCTGCCCTAAGCCTCTTAGCCAGTTGCTGACTTTCCTGGCCAACAAAAGCCTACACTCTTTGCCATGGCCGGCGTTCTTAAATCGATGCCTTTTGTAGCCCCAATATCATCGCCCAAAATCGGATACTACAGGGGCCTAAATATTTACCAATATCATTTTGAAGTCCATTTGAGGTACCATATACTATAACTATACAAGGAATATGGAACCACCATATTGAAAATTATTTGGGCCCCTACAGTAGCCCCTGTTCCTTTTTCATGTTCTACCCTCAACGGTAGGTTGCACGGTTCTGTTCCACCACCACTAAACCTTAAACCCTAAACCCTAAACCGTGTTACAGCCAAACAAGCTGACCTGAAAAACCTATATCCGTATGAGGCCCCAGCTTCCAATTTCATGTGAGTAGCGTTTTTTTGGTGGTTAGTGTTTAGGGTGTAGGGTTTAGGGTTAAGCCCAGTAAGATTTTGTTCCTTATATAAGATACTATACCCCAAAAGGAGGAAAGAATCTTACTCTATATTGGGTACCATAGTATCCCCAAATAAAATACCACTCATGTAAGCTACAGCCACTATTTCCCCAGAGAATTGCCATTAGGGACTATATTCGGGTCTATACTAGGCTACAAAAGGGATCCCCATGTCCACTTTGAAGGGTCTCTTAATAAGGTTAATTTCGACTTGGCCCACATTACCCTCGGAAGAAAAAGGATCCTTGTTACATAAACATAAGGATCCCATAGTATAAAGGATCCCTAACATTGATCCAGTTGACAGAAGCTCATGCGCTGTTTGCTTCTCCGTATGATTTTTCCCTAAACCCTAAACCCTAAACCGGAAGCAGCAACCTATTTTCAACCCAACGGCTAAACCAAGAACCCCAAAGCCGAAACCCTAAATCCTAAACCCGAACCCTAATTCCTAAAATCTGAAACCTTTATAGCGTCCCTTAAGTAGACAGAATATGGGGTATATGGGGATCTTCTTATAATAGACCCAAAGCCATATTCTATCTACTCAAGGGGGACTATAATCCTAGAACCCTAAACCCTAAACCCTAAAACCCTAAAACCCTAAACCTTAAACCCTAGACCCTAAACCCTAAACCCTAAACCCCTAAACCCCCAAACCCCAAGGGGGACCCTAAACCTT